TGGAGCCGGCACTAAGTACTGCAGGCTCTGCTCTGCGAAGGTAAGTCCGAGACGGAGGGCCCGGATGGCGTCTCCATGTAATGCAGGATCCATTGCAAGTCCAGGACGGGCCGCGGATAGAGTCCTAAAAGTGTGAGCCGTGCGTACCTGAAATGGCTGCCCCACACAGAGCGGTTCAGACGATCTTGATGCCGGGCAGCTTCACGCTGTTTAACGAGGCATTGCAGAAGGGAGCTTTAGGTAGGGCTGAAACTCGACGCAACTTGCGTCGGAATATGTTGTAGCCGATGAATAGGGTATATCCCGACCCAAGCATACCCACTGCTTGAACCTGGGATACGGCGAGAACACAATGGGGAGACACCATACTGCCGTCCAGTTTGCAGTTCCTTGGTCTCGAATGAATGGCGTCATTCCTGAGATAGCCTGGTAGTCGTCGAGCGGGGAGCACCATCGCTGCGACCCGGGGGAGGGGCAGGGGAGCACCAATGCTACGACCCAAAAGGGCGGGTGGTGATTGCAATGCGGGGAGCACCATCGCTACAACCCGGAATACAAGAATCGGGGAGCACCACTGCTGCGACCCGTGGGTGGGAGGGGAGGGGGTGTCGGGCAGTACTGTACCAAGTCCGTGTTCCATGTGCAAAACGTTGGCGTCCATTGTGCGAAAGCTCGTCCCCCAAGGTACGTGTGGCAGGACTTGCAGGTGACGTCGTCAGTGATGCTAACAAGTTCTTACTATCGCCAGAGTCCGGAGTTCCCAACTTTCCTGCCTACCGTGGTAATGAATCTCACTGCTAAGGACGACCTGTGGTCGCATCGCCAGTACCTGGGGATTTTCCAAATTGTTTCACGTCTTGAGTTACCAGATGAATGCCTGGTTTCGACAAACTTCTCTCGATCGGCTTATTGCCATGTCTGTGACCTGTCTTCTGGCTCGTCATGCATGGTCGACTGCTTGGTCGGTGCCGCATGTATCGATCTCTTCTTGCAACTTGTCTGCTGTAGCTCTTTTCCCCCGCGGTCACGCGGCATAGGAGAGACTGCACGACGTCCAGTCTCACCTATCTGGGCCACTTTCCACGCGCACACCTGTTGCAGTAAGCGTGTGCAAGGAACCAGAGTCCTCAAAGATGACAAGCGTGACAAGCGTGTCTGCATTAGGGCCGCCTGGAATCAAACAGGGCAGTGCTTCACTTGCTAGAGATGAAGGCTAATTTACCGCTGTCCTTCCTGATGGTTCCTTGCGAGAACCGCATGGCATGCACACGGCCAGTCGGTGAGCTTACTCGCATGATTGCACCAAGCTCGTGTAAGAAAAAGAAACGGCAAGCTTCAGCAGCAGTCGGAGCATCTACGAGGGGCATTTCAACGGGGCCGAAGGCTCTTACCCGTGCTCGTCCACGATAACTGCCTAAATACCATGTGACCTATCTTGTCAGAAACTCATGTGTCCCTTCAGTCGCGCAAGGGCCCAACGTACAAGAATGCCGGGTTTGTCTTACACGATCTCGAAGCCAGCAGCTTTTCAACCCCATCGGTGCACGCCCGCTGAGTGCATCTGAAGGCCTGGATTGCTCAGCAGTTTGCACGGCAGATCTAAATGCACATAAGTACGGTACCAGATGTCTCGACTGTGCAAGAGTGGCCTCAGACAGTCAAAACAGTCACCGAGCTGCTGCAATCGAACTTGCATCGTTGAGTCCTCTTGTGCCAGAGACCGAACTCATGCCTGTAGGCTGCTTGCAACTGGATGTAATTAATCAGCGACAAAGACAACACTCCGTCATGACGATCACACAGGGCGTTGGGGGAAGGGACAAGTCCGGTACTTCACAGCCAGTACCACTGGCGCGCTCGAAACGATAATGCTAGCAAGGAGCAAGTCGATGTCTCTCATGACACATGTTCATATGGAATCGTTGCCTACTGCTACCGCACTTGCAAAGAATGCGCCTGTCTGCAAGAGGACTTCGGCATGAACGGTGTGCAAACCTGCTGCTCAATAAACAACTTCAAACCTGCGGCGCCTCGCTGCCTTAACGAACTGGTGAAGTAAACCCAGCCAAACCAAGCCTCGCAGAAATGTCGGCGAACGAGCCGGCCTATTAAAGCAACACGACAACAAAGAGTCAGCCTTTACCTCGATGAGGCATAACTGCTTGGGACCTGATTGGTGCCTCCGCTGCACGACGCCTAAAATGTAACGGGCACGACGCCGTGCCGGCTGAAAGCTAACCGAAGATCTCTGTCTTCATGACAACAGAGTCGTGCGCCCTGAGAGTACTGTTCTGCAAGAGTTCTGCTGACAAGCAACTCGGCAAACATCCGCGGTGGAGGACACGTGGGATGGTTCCGATGTCGTGATCGTCTCCCCAGGTTCGTAATGGGACACTTGGCATACATCCTAACTCGGACTAGACATGCAAGATGCCTCAGCACTGAAAACCAAACCTTGAAGAGCCCCGCAGGGCGACGATGGGCGACTTGAAAATGTCAGCGAAAGCAAAGCCAATAAACTGCAAGATGCGGGAAAGAATGCCTCGATTACCGGAGCAATTCTGACTCTTGTGTTGGCGCCGTAAGCCTGGGACGCCTAGTTCTGCCACACTGGCTGCGCCGTACCGGATCCAGCTTACACGGTTGTGAGGCCCAGGATCTTGTCAGACCCACCGGCTAAGAACAGGACGTACAGGAACTGTCGAAACGTTGTTGCACTCCCCCCGGGCCGACTCACCGTGACCGCGCAACCAAGTCTGTTCCTATTGTTGCATGCCAAAACATAATCCACGGGCCTGATCAGGCTGAATGTTTGACAAACTGTGCGAGCAGCAAGGGAGATTAGTCAAAGGTCAAACCTAGAAAGCGAAACCTTTGCCAGGTTGCGAACTGCGAAAGCCTCGAAGTACATCTGAAAGCTTGGTCTTCTCAGGAGTTTGCACGGCCGACCTACACGTATCAACGGTACCAGAGGTTGCAACTGTGCACGAGTGGCATCAGATCAGTCAAAAATTCACCAAAGCGGCAGCAAGCATACGTGCACAGTTGAATCATATGGTTCCAGTTACCGATCTCATGCCTGGAGACTGCTTCTCGCATGACACATATCCGTATGTAAGCACTTCCTACTTCCAAAGAGTACGCCTTGCTGCACGTGGACTTCGTCAGGAAAGGTGTGCAAACGACAGGGTGAAGCATCACGACAACGAAGTATCGTCCTGTACCTGCATGAACCCTAACTACTTCGAAACATGATTGTTGACTCGGCTGCGTGAACCTCAATGTGTAAAGGGCGCGACGTCGTGCCCGCTGAAAGCTACTGAAAGATCTTCGTCTTCATGGCAACTTCGTGGTGACAAGCATCCCAACAAACATCTGCGATTGAGGACACATGGGACGGTTCCGAGGTCGGGGATGCCTCCACAGGTTCGCCATATGACACTTTACACATCCTAGCTCGTCAGCGGAGGCAAAGCCAATAAACTGCAAGATGCTGGAAAGAATGCCTCGATTACCGGAGCATTTGCCGTGAGCCGGCGACGCAGAGTACTGCCACACTGTCTGCACCGTGCCGGGTCTAGCTTACACGGGTGTGAGGCCCAGCATCCTTTCAACCCCACTTGCCAAGAAAAGGGCGTACCAGTACTCCATACATCGAGGAATTGTTACACTTCCCACGGGCTACGCGCCGTGACCGCGACCACGACAACCAAGCCAGCACACTCTTGCAGAATCACTCACATAGCCGCACGTCAGCGGGATAGTGCAACCGTTGTGCATGTTAAGGTGGCGCTGTAAGTTCATACACAGTTCTACTGAGCAGATCCTCTGCCGTCAAACAAAAGAAGAAATAAAAATAAAAAGATAAAAATGAAGAAATTTGTAAGACCCCAACTATCTCAGGAGCAAGGCTTGTCGACACAGTGCTTGGAAGTGCCTGAAGTTTGCTCTCGGTCCGATTCACAACGTCGACTAACACTCTGGCTTGATCCGTGCGCGGGACGCCCTTGGTATAAGCAAGCCACGGACATCACAATTGCATGAATCGACATCGCACTTAACTGCATGCCCCACGTCTTCCGAACCCACAAGCAATTCCTCCTATGGGAACATGCCCATGTCCTCATTGCAAGAGACAAGACCCAGACATGAAGTACTTGACGATTTCCGGGGTTGGCTGTGAACATTCGGACTAGCAGCGAGAGCCCTGCGGCAACTGATGCTCAGGTGGCTCCCAACCTACGCCAATGGTACATAGTGTGGCACTATCGCCCTAGTGCAACTGGATGGGGGAAAGGGGGGTGCTCATCGAGTCGCCAATGACTCTTAGTGCCGCCCCGGGGGTCCACACCCTTTCCAGCACCAGCCCACCCAGCAAAGACGAGCACTAGGCCCCGGGGAACACCGATGACAAATTCAACACCGTAGCCTCGTGAAACACAAGATTGCTGAAAACAACTACTCGACTAGTTTCGGCCACGGTCGTGCCTGTTCTGACGCATTCGCGAGTCCAAACAAGCTGAATACTTGCCGTTCGGAGTGGTGTCCTAAGTCCTGGCCGTCCTGGCCTTCAAGGAGGTAAGTTTTCTTCGTGGGCTGCTGGTGCCGTTTTGCAGGCAAAAGAACATTGAACCTTTGCAGCATTGCCGTTTCCAATGGCATCGCAGCCTATTCCTTCGGCAAACCCTACAATCCAAAATCCTTTCTTTGGTAGCAGCATCTGCACAAAGTCTTCAAGGCCGCTTGAAATCATGTCATAAGCTTAATCGTGCTCGTGGGTCTGAGGCAATCTGGTCGTGCATGGTCGTCCGCTTGTTGCGCATGTCGAACACTGAAGAAAAATCGCTGCAGAACCGCCGCCTCCCCAGCGCGGATTTGAGAAGGCGCACAGGTAAATGCAACTACATACAACAACATGCCAAGAGGACATTCAATGTGAAACCACATGCAAAAACATCGACAAGGCTCTCTTCTGGTCGAGGATGAAGTAAAAAGAGAAGTTATACGTTGTTTTTGAAGACTGGCGCTCTGGCTGTAAGTGCGAGCCTAGGTCTACGTGTAGTCATCTGCAGACAGGAAGGCCGAGGTTCCGGCATGCAGGACACCATGTCGACCAAAGTGCGGGGAGCTTTGGCGCGTCGCTGCTGCAGCTCGAGGAGCCTGCGAGTATTGCCGATGCCATGGCTGCGTGTCCAAGCTTAGATGATTGCCTGGACTCGTAGAGTTCTTGTTGCTTGACTTTTCGACTCTCGCCCTCGCCCGCGGCAGGCTTGACTTTTGTAGACGTCGAGGCCTCCAGCAAATTCCAAAGCGCTTGCCTGTCCTTCAGATCATCTGAGCCTCCCACCCTCGTCCGAAGCTTTCCAGCTTCGCAGAATCGGCAGCAAGGCCCAAAGGACTGGCCCAAGTGGCTGGACAAGCGGCCTTAAGCACTCGAAGAATCTCAGAAATTGTTGGCGTCTCTTTGTCATCGCGAGGCTCGTGCTGGTGATAGCTTCCTTCACCACCACACTTCCTGTCAAGCCCCCAATCAAAGGAGAAACCCAGGCAGGGGACTCGCAAATTGGGCCAGAGCACCCCTAGTCTCCACTGTCGTCGGCTGATCCTGAGGCTCCCATACTGGGCTGACTGTCCTTCACCGCAGCCTTACATCTTACATCGGCCCCGGGCCGCAGTTCCAGCAAGCAGCAGCCGGCACTCGAACGGACTGGGCCAAATTAAACGTGCACTGACAACGGGCGGCTTTCTGCCTCACACTCCAGAGCCTCTGTGTGCCAGAATCGGATGGGAGAGTCCAGGCCATGACGTTTCCAGCCGCATCCCTGAACCTGGCAGACATAAACGCGGCGCGCGCTGGCTTGTAGTTTCGTGGCTGAGGCACTCACTGCCACTTGTCACCGGTGTAGCTCACCTCGCGGCTCAGGGGGTGAGCTGCACTTCAAGCCGCTGCTTGCTCAGTGCCTTCACCTCCTCCGAAACGCCGAGGCAGGACACCTTCGCAGCGGTTGTGCGTACTTCGAGCTTGCAGATTGTAAAGCATGCGGGGCTGAAGTCTCAAGCCTTCGAGAAGGACCTCGGCTCCCGAACGACTCCGGAAGGAACAAAGTCTAAAGTGTAGCACAAGGTACAGGCTGGCCATCAGCGACATAGAGGCCATGTAGCGACGGCATCTCCTCTCGGAGAACTGCGTCAGTCTTGCAGTCTTCGAAAACATCGCACACCACAGGGCCTTGACTTCCAACTCCCACAGATGCAGCTGCCCCTGGACTTCTGCGAGCTGGCCTAATGCATCCCGACGCGAGTTTCCGGCACCTGGGCGTGGCTGGCAAGCACCGCCTCGAGCTCCTGAGCCAAGCCAGAAAACTGCTCTGCAGAGAGAGATAGGGAGAGGGAGAGAGAGAGAGATAAAGAAAGACTTTCTTCGTCTCTGGTCTCCTTTGCCCGTGCTGCAGCTGGCTTTGACATCCTGCTGGCGTCAGCCCACCAGACCAGACACTGTGCTACGTGGCTTTTGCCCCAACTAGCTCCAAGCTCCAGGCCTCTCGAGCACCTCAAAGCGGAGACGCGTGACAAAGAGGCTGAAAAAGCGCAAGTCTCATGTCCGGCCTCGCGGTCCCTCGCACCCGCGACCTCGTGCTTGCTGAGGAAAACCTCAGCTGACCACGTCTCGTATCCTCTCGTTCCAAAAGTCGTTGTTTGTCTCTTCCCCCGCCTTGCCGTCGGCGCGTTTGGCAGTGACCTGAGACTGAGACAGATGCAGCCACAGTGCCACTCAGTGCCACTTACGCTACCGAGGCCAGGTGGGCGCGCCTGGTGCCCGGAGAGTCGGTACCGCACGGTCACTGTCCATGTCTCGTCCAATCCCCAATCTTCGATGATGCGCCTCAACAGCGGCCACAAATGACACACGTATGCCACTTGTCTTTTCAATGGGTTTCGGGTGCCAAGCCTTCTCTTCCTCTCACGAACCTCCTCGTCCACGTACACGAGCACGAGGACCACGGCGTCTGAGGCCAAAGCCTATCAGCAGAGCAAAACCACTACGGGCAGCTGCGAACGAAAGACACTCTGTGCCTCAAGCTGATCTGAGACGATGGGAAGCACGGACCCACTCTTCAGCCGCACGCCTTGGAGACGCCTTCACAAGCAAAATGCCTCGACCACCCATTCCAGCTCCCGTCTGAGTCCCTTACCACTCGCCGGCGCGGAGTGTGAGCTCACTCCTGGCCACCTAGAAGTACGAAGTACCATGCATGTCAGGGACCGGAGAATAAATCTGCACCACAGTGGGACAGTGGAACAAGAATATTGATGAAACAGGCTGTGAAGATTGTGAAGCTCATCACTCTGGTCAAAACGCAAGTTAGGGACCAACAAAACGGACTCGGAGCGGAACCTCCTGCTTCTGCTGATGCTTGAGACCCATGGCCTGCCACATCACTACCCGCTAACCTTTGCACTAAGAGCATCTCATCTCAGTAGCGGTCTCCAGGACATTTCGGACACTTGCTTACCTTGCCTTGCGCACCTTCAGAGCACTGTCGTTTGCATCCTGGAGCCGCCAAGGAGCCGGGACTGAACTTACAATGCCCCGCATGACGCCTCTCCCTCAGCCTTGCGCTTGACACCAGTTTTGGCACCTCAACTCCCAGTGCATCCGCTCGTTACATGCGGCCTCTACCCAGCAGCTGCAAAGCCTCGTCCTGCACCACCCTTGCACCTTCGCGCAACTTCCTCCATGCTACACGTACCACAGTGTCTCAATCTCAAGTCTCTTCTTAGAATGGCTCTGCACTTCGCAGTCCTCCGCGCTGCGAGCGACAATGGGCATGGTGCCTTTTCGAGTGGGACCAGACCGGCCTCCGCCTCCTGCTCGACCGGTGAGCCTCAAAAGGCACTGGTGAGACCTGTGCTGTGGCCTTCGCGAATTGGCCTCTTCTGCCAAGATGCTCCGAATGCACACGCTCTGCAAGCTCGTAGTTCTCCTGCGACCAGGCGCCGGCGCTGATTCGCGAGCTTCCCTGCCCCTGCCAGAGCCGTGGACCTCCCGCACTGCCTTGGCCAACTGCTTGCGCATGCCTGCCTCACGAAAGGCGCCCCGCGCACCCGAGAGAGGTCTCTCTCTTTTAAATCGTATATTATTCCTCCCGCCTCGCTCCTCTCGATATGTGCCTGCAGAGCTCAGTTTAAAAGGGGTTTAGGGCAGGCGCTGGCAGGGGGCCGGGCCCCCGTCCCGCTGCCCGGGCCCGGGCCTCCTTGGCTGAGATCATCTGCTGGTGCGCGGCCTTCGCCTCCTCGGCCTGCCGCTTCGCCTCAGATCCGAAACGACAGACGTCCGAAGCGCGTCCGAGCTGCGGCGAAAGGCGGCGCTTCCGGGCCTTGGCCTCGACCGCCTGCAGCGCCGCTTCCTTGCAAAGGGCGCGGCGATGTGTGCGGCGATGTGCCGCTGCAGCGGATGTGTGGCCTTGCTGTGGTAAAAGTCCGCTTTGCCACCGGTGCCAAGAACCTGAGAACGAGAAACAAGAAGAGGAGGAAGAGAGCAGCAATGAGCCGCTTAGGTTTTGCGTTTAGCTGGCCTTGATCAGTCGACCGTCCTTCCCGAGCTTCACGGCCCATCCGGCCGGCAGGAGCCACTCGGCAGCCAGCTGCTTCGCCTGCGAACTCCCAACGGTGGAGGACCCCGCGTTCTCCCTCTCCCTCTCCTGTTCCACGATCCGACGGTCCATGAGGGAATACTTCTTCAGGGCCAATGCATGCACCTGCATCTGACAAGGGGGAAGGGGCTGTGAGGATTGTGAGGCAGGGCGGGGGAGTCCAGCCTTTGGCTCCGGAAACCTGAGGAACGCACTCCCTTCATTCACTCTGCAGAAGAAGAGACGCATTGCTGAAGTCATCGTGTTGGGTTTTTTCTTTCACGATTTCTTGAACAATCGCTTCCATACACAAACAAGTGAGTGCGTGAGGGCGTGAGTGCGTGCGGGCGTGCCTAAGTGGGTCGGTGGTCGTTGGATCGATGCGTCGGTGGGTCCACAAAACATCTACCAAAATCATGGAGCGGTCACAGTGAAACATGGGGACGGACAACCTTCGAAATCTGCACGATGCTGGGGAAGCCTTCGTGATTGGTTCTGGCTCGTCTGTGCCAGCTGTGCTGTGAAGCTAGCATTGAGGCCGCTAGCAGATCCATTGTCGATGATACCATTGTGCATGCAAGCCTGGGCACCAGTAAAACATTGTAAAATGATTGTACTCGTATGTATTCTACACAGGACCTTTTCCTCTTCGTGTTGAAAGGGATGCCACCAGTTTTATGCGTAGAATGCATGATGAACTGCCCAAAATGAAGACTGACACACCTCGGTACATACAAGAGCCTGAAGAAATCTAGATCCGACACGACAAGACGATATGTATCCCTGCCCACTAGCCCGCATTTCTTGACCACAACAACCAGTTCCGTTCTACTGCGACACGCTGCATGCCAATACACACTGCATTGGCCTGACATGCCTTCATGCTGGACCTGTTGTTCCAGGAGCGCGCGGGTGCGCGGAAGAACAAACTGCGTTTGGAGAGTGGATTCTCTGCTAGTCTGCAAGTTGTAAACAAGCCGCTGTATTCCAAGAAGGTTTTGTGCAGCCTCTCAGCAGACCGATGCTCATGGCTCCAAAAACCGTCGACTGCTGAACTGGGGGTCTGTAGGCTCGACCGCTGCGTCGGTATCTTCTGCAACCACCTATGTCCCGGCAGGCCCAATCGTCAGTACGGAGAAAACTCTTCGCCGGCAGTGTAAACATAGGCAGGCTTCAGCATGATTGTAGCAGTTGAGGGCGCACATGACAAGGATCGGCCCTCCCCCTGCTTATCTGCAACTATCTTCAACTACTGGACTGAAGTGCTGCGCCCCGGTGTGGGTGTGGGTGCGCGCGCTTGTGCACACGCTGCACTGTTACTCTCCAAAGGAACATGCTCCTCCACCAACACAAATACACGAGTTGCTTCTCCCTCACGCGCTATAATGCTGGGCTTCTCCATACCCAACCTAGATAGCCCCCAGCCCAATTGACTGCTAGGTTTGGGGAACACAACATACATGCTTGGGCACTCGCAGTGAGAAACAACAAACTGAGATCTGCACTCTCCGTCTTTGTTGGATGCCCAGAAGTCGGCAAACTTAGCAACAGCAGTTGCCCGGTCCTGAGCCAGCGAGACATAGGAAAAAGAGCACACCACAGCCCAAATGAGGCTCGTCCTTGTGCGACACGTTGGTGTACGTGGTCTTGACGATTTTGAGCTGAGCATGCAGTGGCACACAAGAGCATTGCATCCAATGCAGAGAAGACTAGACGAGAAAAGTGTGTCGGCTGCACGTACTTTTCTGCGGCCATCGCGTCGGGACTCTTGCCATGCTCTTCCACCAGCTCCTGGCAGAGAAGACAAGTCGCCGTGGTGCCCGCAGAGGTGCCGCGGTGCCGGTCACCGGTCCTTCATGGCCTGGAACATGGCATTGGCTTCCTCCTCTCGTCTGATTGGCTTTTCCTGGAACAGAGACTCGCCTCTGACATCTCTGGCTCCTTTTGCTCGGGTTCAAGCCGGCTGAGGCTTTAACCTCCTCTGAGTCCTGCTTGCATTGTAACTCAAACCTTGCGAAGAAAAGATCGCAGTGGACAGGGCTCGTATGACAAACATTCCCAAGCAACTTCGTCAGGATCCGCGGCCACATCGCCCACTCCTTGCCAGCAGCATGTCCGAACTTTTTCTGGGCGAGTCCAGTCACCACCTCATCCGTTGCGTCGGGCAGGAGCGCAACGCTCAGCGCCACCTTGAAGGACGAGATTGTCTTCGCCCAAACGGGTTTAACAAGGTGCTCCTTGAACCCGAATCCTCATGAACCAAATGTATCGTTCGCGCACAATAAGGCCTGTGGAGGGTAAACTTCCATCCTACAGGAATCTGAAGAAGCTTTCATGCTGTTTAGCGACCGGCCGCTGTCCACGGGCATCGACGTCCTTGGGACCCGTGCGATGAAGACAGAAGTCTGCGGAGACCGACAGAGCATCGACCGAAGCCTCGAGAAGGTAGCAGTCTTCGTCGAGCTTCTCCTGGAGCTCCTCGCGCCTAGGCCGGGCTTTTCTGAAGCTGAAGGCCGCTGGCTGCTCGGAAAGCGCTGGGGTCGTGGCCAGTTCGCCGTTGCATCGGCCATAACCAGCTCCAAAGGCAAATCCACCTGGCACTGTGGCACCATCCGCGGGCCTGGGGCCTGGAGATCTCGATCGACAACTCCTTTGGTCCACCTGCAGGTCGTCGAAATGCTCTTGCTCCTGGCCCCCGCAGCGCACTGTTGGCAAGTGGAAGGCCAATCACGACATCTACGTTGAGAAGCTTACACCTGGCCTTTCCCGTCTCTCTCTCAAAGTCCGGAGTGAATGACGTCTGCAGTTTGTAAGGGTCTATCGCAGAGACGTCCTTACACTGGCGGCTGTTGCAAAGGAACTGTCTGAGTCAGTACCGCAGTGCAGTGGCGGTGAGGTTCTCGAAGCCCCCGTTTTCACGAAACTTCCTGACACGAAACACTTGCGAGTGTCAGTCACAGAGGTGCCTGCCACAGTGCTTCGTAGGTTGCCTGAGATATAAGATCGCCGAGTTCAAGTAGCCATTGCACTTTGCCTGATAGAACGGAGTCGTGTTGGCACCGAGAAAATTACCGGACAAGCACGGCAAACACAGCTGCTCAAGCTGAGCAAAGCGGCATTCTCAGGATCCATTCGCACCAGGCGTTGAAAGTCGGAAGTCGCCATATCCCAAGCCTTCTTCTTGTGCAGCCTGAGAGCTGAAGACAGCTTAGGCAGCTTCGGGGTACCAAGAGCTTCCACGAACTTCAGACGATGCTATGTGGGCCAGGCTCCATCAAACGTCTCACGCCATTCATGTATGGATACCCCTGGAACAGCGGCCACAAATAACAGCCCGTGGCAACGTTTCTCTGCTTTCCAATTGGAGCCTGCTGGAAAAAGGTCGCCAGCACACGTGGATATTGTGCAACGTCCTCTTGCGAAGCGTCTGGGACATCGTCGTACCTGCGTACCAGAACACAAGCTTTCACCACATTCTGTGCTCCAGACTGTGAGCTCAATGGGCTCACGAAGACCATCCGTGTCCTCCTGCACCGTTTAGCATTCGCTCCAGCTCCCTGCCCAGACAGGGGGATCTCCCTTCTTGTCATAATCAAACATGCGCAGCAGCGTAGTGCTCTTCCGACTGTTGTCTGCAATCGTTCGTTTGTGACATTGCTGGAACAGTGCTCGAACATGCTCGAACTACAGCGCGAACAAACTCAAAACGTTGGAGAGGAAGGAACCGCCACTCATGGTGCACCTGTAAAGTTCTTCATTCGTGAAAAAACATTTTTTGAAGACATGGATGCTTTGGAATAATTCAACTTCAAAAGGCATGGATCATCCCCTGTTCCATCCATTCCTGCAACAAATCAGAACTGCACAATTTTGCACAAGCAAGCAAAGTCGATCGATATTCCTGGGACACTGTGCTGTCGCTCTGCTGCTTTCACGTCCGCGACATGCCATTTGGAGACCAACGCTACGTAGTGCCATGTAGTGCCTGTAGTGACATGCCCACCACTTCATGTTTAGATTGTTGTTGCCCGCGGCTCATCAATGTGAAATGATGCAAAAATGTCGGCGTCCGCCAGACACGCTTGTGTTTGTGCGCGCAACATGGGCGAGACGACACTCGTGCATAGATCTTGGGATGTGTGCATCCGCAAATCAACCTTCAAACAGATTGTCACCAAAAAACTGATTCCAACCCTCTTCGACGCAGGCTCAAACAGCAAACCAGTGCCAGGAAAGCTGAGGGCCCAACGACAGTTGAGCAGCAGCTATGTACGCATAACGCTTTCTAAAGCCATGCCAAGCGCCCAGCAGTCTAAGTCTAGGGCCTAGGAGAAACCTAAGCCCCACTGAACCGAATTAGTGTGCTGACTTCTCGAATTCCGTCTCAAATCTTCTCGACACATGCGCAAATTTGCACAAGCCTGACGTAAGTTACAACCGACATGATACGGCTGCTATTGCTGCTATGGAGGTTGAGTAGTCCGCCTTCAGCAGTCTTCTGCTTCTTGGGGTTGAGGCAGTGCTACGGCACAAACTACAAACAAACAAGCTTGCACTTGGAGATCGTGGGTCGGAGACATCCTGTAACAACGGTCTGCTGTCACATTTCACCAAACTGAGTCAACTTCAAAAAGATGATGTAGTTGGACCGTTCAAAACCTGGTTGAACTTGCTGCTGTCAGTCCATAGATGAATGAAAGCCGATCCTAGCAATCTGGATGCATAGCTGGCTGCAACTCGGAATACGTGCACCGCATGTAGACTCTAGACTTTCGGGGGGTCAACGGAGCATCGCCCTTGTCGCAAAACGGTTGTCCAGAAGGGAACTTACGGTTGGCTAGCTTATAACCATGAGCCACACGCAGCGGGCGCATGTTGATCGTGCTTTTCAGATCAGCCACCAGCGCAAACAGCGCAACATGTTAGTGTTGCCAGAATTATCCGTCCGCCGTGCGTTCGTTGGCCTGCAATACTTATGAAATTGGAGCTCTGCAAGTCGATGATCTTCTCACACTTTACGTGGGCACGCGCTCAGCACCGACTTGTCCATTTTTCGTAGTCTAGGACCCTGGCGCGCTCGTTGTGTTGAGCTGCTGACTTCATATGAGTTGCTGTTTCTGCGAAACTGCTTGCCTGTGTTGCCTTGGAGCTCTACCGAGGTGCTCAAGTGCTCAATGCATGCGTGGAGCTCTAGTGCTCAAACCTCCATCAACACTTGTTTGGAGTATGCTTGGAGCGCCTTCTGCAATATCATGCTGGCTCGCAGCGGCAAGCGCAAGCAAACAGCATCTTGTTGCGAAAAGAAGTCTGACCAGACACCCTGGTCTGTCCCACCCTCCCATCCATTCCCATCCCCTAGATTTTCAATGCAATGATGCATCTCAACATGGCATCACGTTTCGCTCGTGCCACAAACAAAGCGCCAAGTCTATTGCCGTGCAAAACAGATCTGCAAGCCCACCGTCTAGCGAGCCCCCTGCTGCGGGACGATCGTTTACACATCCGGGAATAGGCAGTGATCTCGAAGCCGGCCGTCGGGTGCAACCATGGAGTTTGATTTGGGATCAGGAAACGGATCTAAAACATCATTGGATCATGCCAGCTCTACCTAAGTTAGCATAAGCTGCGCAGACGTGCTTGAAGTGATCTGTCTGACCCTCTGTAATGACAGCGAGCACGGCTTGCGGTGAACCGGCGCGAAATGCATTCGCCGCGGTCGCGGGCACTTGCAGTCCAGGCTTGGCTAAGGAAGTACACCCGAGGTGATCGCTGATAGTGCCACAATCCGGCGTGCGCGGGGCGCGAAGAACGTGCTCCTACCTTCGGATCTCGGGTCTCGGCCTCTCCCTCTCGGCACACCGCTCGACGGAGCTATCTGCAGCTTAAGCTGTGAAGCATATCGCGTAGAAAACGAAGTTCGATTGGCAGACTGGCAGCCGCCTTCTTCATGAGGGACCCTGTACTAATCCAAACGGCTACGGGCAGCACAACAGCCAATGGAAGAAGGCCAACTCCAAATTAAAAGACTTACCGGTGAAAGGCGGCATGCAGCCCAGAAACGAAATAGTTTCTGATGCACTGGCCCCACGTCCCACGGGTTCCAACATGCAGCATGCATCTTTTCCATCTTGCACCTTATCCCTATTCGGGTTCATGCTTCGTGACCGTTCGTTCACCCACGGTGCATCGCATGGTGTCTCCAAACGTCTCACAAGGCAGAACCCGATAACAAGTCTGCAAATCCAACACCTCTCCAGTTTCACAAGTTTGCCAAGGACAAGCGTACAAGGAAACCAATGCTGTGCTCATCGTTGTCTCACGTCACGACATCTTGTCATCCAAATCCGTGTCGAAGTGAAGGAACAAGAAGATCACCCCCTTCCCCTCGGCCCCCGCCCTGCGAGGCCGACTTCGTGGCCTTGTGGAGAGCCGGCCACAGCTGGAGCAGGCGACGTGCTGTCGAAGAGCCGCCCGTCGAAGACACAACTCCGCATCTGGGCCTCGGTCGAATTGAACTGTTCGCGAAATATGCTATTTGCACGCTTGGTTCTGCGACTTTCTCCTCTTTGCTTCTGCTGCACATGGTCCTATGTCCGCATGCCTGACTCCTCTTTTTGTGGCGGGGTCGAATCCCTCGTCTTAGTGAAGGGACCTAGGGGGACCTAGGGGGAGCGAGGGAGGCGCTTGACCGCAGGAAGGTCTCGTCTCCCTCTCGCTCTCGGCTTTTATTTCCATCTCTCGGCCCTGGTGGGGTCAAGGCTTCCGTTCAAGGCATCCTGCACCACCTGGGTGGCGCCCGAGGCCTCGACCTGCGAAGACCGGGACTGTGACTGCTGCGACTTGCTGGGCCGCTAGACGTGTTCTCGGAGTTTCCACCACCCTTGCCTTCAGATCCTTGAGCTTCTCCTTCCCAGCTTCTGCCTCAGAGGCACGGGACCCACCCAGAATGCCCCAGGCCCCGGTCCCGGTGCCTCTTGCTCAAGCTTGTTCGCCTCCATCTCCGCGGGCAGCGCGGGCAGCTCGCGGCGCTGTCGCTCGTCTTGAAAGTCCTGCACAGCATTGTCTCTGCGCTTTCGACAGCAGAACCTACAGACCCGGCAGCATGCCGTCCTTTCCCGTCAGTGCGGGATGATCGGACAGTTTGGATGCTTCCGCAAACTGTTTCGTGCCGTCCGGAGCCGTCAGAATCACCAGATCCTCAGGGCTTGGCTTGAAAGCTTCTGGGATTCTATAGGCTTCGTTTGCAAGTTCAGGCCTCTTTGTGCGCCCTTTGGACAACTCGCACACCCCAGGCTGCCTGCGACTAAAAATGCTGCACGCTGCACAGGTACAACTTCTCGCAACATACCATCTCTGCGTCTGAGGCACGGGGATCTTGTGCTCGTTGCGCAGGCGGACCTTGTTGGCAGCTTTGCAGCTGCAACTTGTTCGCAGAACACAGATCAGGAGACGGACTTCCAGCTTCCGTTCGGTGCGGGCAGGTGCCTGGCACCAGGGGCCTGAAGTGGACACTCGCATGTGCAGCTCGCAACTCCAACCATGCTCCGGTTCTGTCTCTCGGAGGCGCCGCTTGGTGTCAGACCGTTCTTTCTCTTTGCCCAGAAAGCTGCGAATTGCTTCACGGTTTTCTCGTGCGACTTCCTTTGCTCAAGAGTTGCCGAACCCGTCTCCTGAAAATCGTGTAATGATTGCTCCATGATCTCCAGTACCTAGGTCCGGCACTCCTTCGAAGCGAGCCTCACGTACGTCGCCTGTCACGTGCACGGCATGGCACTTCTGACTCGCAGCCATTGCGTTCCTCACGCTCCCTTCTCTGCGCAAGACCTTGGCCATCTCGTCGAGGGCCTTCTCGTCTTGGGTGAAGAGGTCATGCAACACCTGACAGTGATGCCCGATGACGTCGAGGGCTTCTCTAAGAGGCACGACAAGCTCACAGCGCAAGCAGCAGCGCTGCGCACAGTTTTTTGGTCGTTTGCCCCGTGGCCCATGTGCCATCTCTCTGCCGCCCTCATCGGTAGGATTTCTGGAAGCGGGCGCGGGCCGAGCGGCCTCCGACAAGATTGGATTTGGCCTAAGGGAGGTGGGAAGCCCGACACTACACTGCTGTCTTTGGAGGGGCTCTTCGGAAACGCCTGGCCTCCGAATTTTTTGGGCTCGCAGCGACGAGGATCGGCAACGATCAATGACCTGTCCTCAGCCATTAACAGAATTTAGCACTTCGCACGTGGCAAACAGTCAAACAGTCTCAGAGCTACGTTGCCGCAAAAGCACATATGCCATCAAGATGTCCTTGATCTCCTTTTTTGAAGCCTCGGGCTCTTGGCATCGAGGACGTTTAGTCGGACAAGGTCACCAACGAGGAGCCTCATCGATGAACTTCTGGTAGTAAGCGACGATGCCCTTGGCCACGGCCTTGCCAAAATCCCCGCAGATGCACTCTCAAGAGTCTCAGGAAGTCACCGTAGCTTGAAAGGCCCATCGCTAATGGTTCGGCCTGACGAAGCGCATAGATCTGCCCCGTGAAGCCTCCGCCCTTGACTCGCAACCGGATGTCCACCTGCCCGAATCCAAAGGAGGATGGGGTGGGGTCTCCCCAGCGCCTCCCTGACTTTTTCTCTTGCTTCTGCCTTGCTGCAGCGATCCTTTCCCAGCAGCAGCAGTGGCTCGTAAACCTGCACCAGGAGTTCTACCTCTGAGATCCTCTGAGCATGCGCATCGCACGTGGGCTATGTCACGCTGCTGCATATGCAATTCTGATGACCAGAGCACGGCCGAGACAAACGCAGGTTTGACGATAAAGTGCTGACTCACCCGATGATTCCTGTCTCGCACCTATCAGGTACAGCTCGGCATGAAAAATCTTGGTTCACAACCGGCAACATTCAAAAATTGCAATCTTGACATTTATCATTTTCTGCTTCTTGTACACGTCAAGTCGATGCTGCCTTCAAGGCTTACAGTAGCGCGAGTTCGGTCTATGCATGAACCTCTGTTCGGAGCGGATGTGGCTGCAGGCTTCCTGAATCGGCAACGTGCCTTCACACGCAGGATGTCGGGCTTGACGGTGTGCAGCGGGCAGCCGTTCAGGCGCACCTGCAGAGCCCACGGCGAACCAGGTCGGAGGCCGCGGCGGAAGCAGAAGCCGCCGGGGCGGAAGCCTGGCCTGGCCGCTACCTGAGCGCACGAGGGCCACGGCCACGGCCGTTTTCTTCCTCCCGAAGCATTGGACCTGTCTGGAGCCGTGAGCCAATGCACAGAACTCATGAGACACTGCAATGCGACAGCCTTCTCACTCTTCGCGGACGGGGTGGTGGCTTCTCCCTGTCCCTCCATGATGCCTTCGCATGATAGAATCGAAGTTGCCATCCGCACGAGCCTGCAAGATGCTGGCCTGGCTGATGGGCTCTTGGGGCGCACTGGGACCGCTGAGCCAGACGTTGCAGCAAACGGCAGCTGAGTCAGGGAATGTCAACTCTGGCACACAAAAAAAGCTGGGCAAGGTGGCCCCCAAGGTGCCTGGACCGAGCCTTCCACATCTTCTTCCTGTCATTCGGAGAGGACCCAGGAACCGAGGCTGAGCCTCTGAGCCTCAGCCGGCCTGCACTGAGGTCAGCCACTCTCTGAAAGTGGCTGCGACCTTCAAGCGATCGGAACTTGGGGGAAAACACGCCGAAGCCGCGCCCGCGATAAGCCAAGCCGAGAGCTGCGGGGAAGCGATCGATATCCTCGACGGATGCATCCGGGATGCTGGACAAGGCCTCCGTGATGAAAGGTCCACACGGCCAATAAACATCTACGTCTACATGCGCTGAACGAACACACTTGAAATCTCTGCCTTCTTCATTTCTCGTGCTTTCTGCTGCTCCTAGCAGAAGTCATCCCTTTGCGGCACTGTGCACACGTCGCTCTGCGTGCAGATGCGGTCCTCGTCCTCCTCGGCACCATCGGCATCCTGCAAGACCCAAGACACCCCAGTCGCTAATGAAAGCAACGAGCTTACGCATCACTTCACAGAGTCCTCGTCCTGATCTTCTCCTTCTTGTTTCCTACGCCAAGCGGTCCTCTCTTTCTGGTAGCAGACTTCCGAATCATCCTGAGCAACAGGTTGTCATGCTTTGACATAGTCTTGCACTGTGAGCTGATCCTCCTTGGAATTCCCATCCAGGAAACGCAGCGGGAACTTTTCCTGTCTCCAGCATCACTGCCAACATCAAGACAAGATCCATCCGCACTGCCTTGAGAATGGCTCGTGCAAATTCAAAGCGGTCCATGGGCTCGGCATCATTACCTGCATCTACAACGCAGGAGGGACCTGGGGCCGAGAGCAACCCGTCGCCTTCATCTGCGGGCTCTTTTCCATCGTTGGCACTCTTTGGCTTTGATTTCTCGCTCTTTTCCTGCAAAGCTTGGTGACGAGCCAACGGCCACAAAGAAGGCAGCGCCCTGTGCCTCTCGCTGGGGCCTCAGAAAACCAAGTCGGCACGGAATAGCCACAGATCGCGTGAGTTGCTGCATACAAGGCAGCGGCACAGAGCAGCCGATCTCTGCACATGTTTTAACCAGGAGCTGATGCAGCTCCTTAGCCTGAGATTGACCCCAAACAGTGAAAGAGCATCTGCAGGTAGAAGTTTGAGCTCCTTAGACATCCAAGAACCATTCCAAAAGCACCCTTGAGGCTCGCAAGAACGCCACACCCACTGGCCGCAAAATGCACTATGTGGCAGGGGCATTACCACCCCAGAACATGCACAGGACCTACGCCTGCATTTTGAAGCGCAAAATCAGCACGGGTCTGTGATGGTCTGTGGTGCGAGGGTGATTTCCGCCAGCAGTACACCAGAATACGGTCGGCACTGTGGCAGGAGCACGATTCAGTCATCAGTTTAGAAAACGTCGTAGCGCTTGATTTGTCAAGAACTTCCGCCTGCGCAGCCCGGGACTGTGGAAAGCACGCGACTTGAGTCGAATATGTGCACCGCACCACAGCGCGAGTCGCGGAACCCCCCGGCCTCACATGTTTGCCTCGCAGGATCAAGAAATCCCTTAAGCCTTTACAGCCTTCACCGTTGACATAACATCCTTATAGAGTGTTGCATAGTGGTGTCACACTGTTTGCGGATGCTCAGCCCGCTCCGGCCTTCGCGTAGTCGTGGGTTCTGACTGCCGCTTGAATGCTACTTCGAAGCGACATCAGCTCGTTGTGTCTTCCTGGCCTTTGTTGGAGAGCGTAAGCGAAGTAAGACTTTCCAGTCGAGGCTTCTCAGCTCCGGGCGGGGGCTGGATCCTTGCAGCTTGGGTGGATGGCTTCTCGGGAGTGGCCTGGCAAGTAATGCATGCGTTGAGCTGTCCTTCTCACGTGTCTGGATTCATAATATGGCCTCGGCGACCGAGACACCCTTTGAAGGGGGGCTCGACATGTCCTGCACCAGGTCCCTGCTAGGTCCATCTGGCTTTCGAGTTGAGGTCCTGATCCTTTGGCTCTGCGCCTGAAAGAAGCAAGGCTTGTGGCTGATGGCTCTCTCTTCCAAAAACACCGCTTGCGCCTCCGCCAGCGCCTCGCTGCGGAGTGGCCACCCCGGAGGGTCCACGCACCTGGCGGCCACAAAAGAAGCGGAAGGAGTGGAAGCAGGGTTTTCCGCCATGTTCCGCCCCTTCGCCCTTCCCGAGCCTCGGCCTTGACCTTTGGGCAGAGCCGCTTCGCAAACTTAGCGGCCGAGGGAGTCGGCTTTGGCTTGGCTTTGGCCTTCGCCTGGAGGGCCCCCGAGGGCAAAAGGAACCAGACGGGATGCTCTGCGACTCTGCGCACATCTGCGCACCTTGCCCTTTGGAGGCAAAGCCTCCTTCTGCGCCTGCCCCAAGCAACCCCAACCCGTGTACCGCGACAACGACAGCAAACGGACTACGGTGCGCACCAGGCCTGCACGGACGTCGATTTCTCCGCGAACTCCTCGCACTCCTCCTCCTCCTCGTGCTTTCTCTTCGCGAAGTGTGTCGTGAGGAGGCCGCCAACGGCCGGCGGAGCACACCTCGCCGCTTGGTGAAACCAGGCACGTCCAGCTCTCTCTGTTTCCTTCTCTCTCTCAATCTCGTTCCCCCAACCGGGCCGAGAGCTTCCTGCTTCGACGCCGGAAATCCACCCTGACTCAGGAGCGGTGCAATGCCGAAGCTGGACAGCCAATGGCCTGAAACGCTCGTCGCCAGCAGCTGCTTTGGCCTGTGACACCGATGCTGCGCGGTGATCAACCTACTTTTCTTCTGCAGCGTTGGCCCAGCTCTTTTTTCCGTGGCATCTCCTTTGCGGCTCCGTGGACGAGAGCTGCTTCAGCTGACGAAGCAGCGCAACCTTCGAGGAAGCTTCTTGCCAGGAATGCTTTTAGGGAAGGCGTTGACGAGCGAAAGACGCCGCGCCTCAGGTACGCCTTGCCCGGAGCATCGCTTTGCCAGGTCGCTGACACCAGGACCCGGCTGCGGGGGGCGCTGGCCTAGGCTGAGAGAAAGAAAGACAGAGAGAAACAGACAGACAGGGAGGGAGGGGGGGGCCTTTTTTGCAGAGGGGGGTGTCGGAGTGTCGGTCCCGGGGGCCTCGCCTCCTCTGGGGTGTTCTTGTCATCGACAGACCAGAGCCGGTCGGCCGCGATGATGGAGCGCAGGGCCGCCATGGTCCGCTCGGGCCCGGCCACATGGATCAGGGCCTCGCCGCTCTGTTGGATGCGACCCAAAATAGCACCACCGAGCTGTCCGATATTCGTGGTGCGGCCAACTAGCAAAGGGCTTTGTTTCGGAGGCTCCGCACGCCTCTCCACCAGCTGATAATGAGTGCGAAGGGCTGTCACCTCCATGGCACCTTCCCGAAATGCCCTGCCATGCGGCTTCTTTGTGACCCAATCCAAAGCCATGGCAACGATCTGGCCATTGAAATCTAGTGTCATCGCTGTGGCACATGCTTTGACGACTACGCTGGCAGCTCTGATGCCGAGACTGTCGCAGAAAAGGCCCTGCTCCGCCTCTCGCACCACGTGGTCTGCTAGGCCTTTCATGTCGGTGTCCGAACGGACCCGATACACCTTACCGCTGTAGTCCTCCTGCTCAGAGAGTGCCGGAAGCATCTGCGCCGAAGTGGCGCTTCTCTGTATGGGACTTGCGACAGAGCGCTGGGCACTGGCACGGCCTTCGCCCGACGTCAACATCCATGCCAGCTGCTGCACCCCAAGCAAGCCGAGGCCCGCGAAGAACGACAAGCACACAAGGTGCCGGACCATGGCGCGAGCGAAATTTACAAAAGCCGACTTACTGCGTCTCTGTCAGTCTGGGTTCCGCACTGTTGTTGAGGACTCGATTTCGATTTGCCAGGTCCGGGCAGTGTCTCTTGTTCTGCGTTTCAAGCTTTGGCTTACAACGTCGCCGGACATCGAGTTGGATCCTTCAAGGCTGGCCGCTTCGGCGTCTGACGACAAACGGATGCCCTCGGACGAACCCCACCTCCCATGGCATGGAGAGGCCGCCGCGACTCGCCACGAAGTCCTGCTCAGATGCTGAAGCGCCTCTTCGCCAGCACGAAGCCTCAAAGCCTCAAAATGACTTAAAGTCGAGGAGCTTGGAACTTTTTCAGGCCAGCACCGACAATGTTGTTCCGCTTCTGGTTTTCCTCGGCAACGGGGACTTCCCGAGGATCCGAAAGCCTTGCTTGCGGCCTTGGTCTTCTTCACGAGATCCAGGAGCTCCTCACCAAAGCAGGTCCATCTTAGGGAAGGCCCCGGCATTCCGGCGTGGCATGGCGCGGCCAGCCTGGGATGCCAAGGCTTGCAGGCCCAGCTGGAAGCGCTCCATGAGCATCTTGACCTCAATTGCTCTTTCTTTCTGCCGGGCTTCGGGGTCACTGTTGTGACCCTCAGGAATTCAGCCCAATTGCCCTCTCTCTCTCTCGCCTTTTCTCTCTTTGCACACAGCTGCAGACCTGCAACATGTAATTCGCAGCGGACTTGCTCGTGCTGCCGGCCATCATCCAAGCAAAAAACCTAGAAATGCATCGAGTTTCAGCAAGCTTCTGCGCACGCAGAGCAGATGCACCAAGCTTGCGACGACGCGAGCGTGTCGCCGTACTGCTCCTCGCATCAATGGCTCCAACAACTCTCGGCACTCGCAAGGCACCCGGGCGCCTTCTCTTCGTCCGTCGCTTTGGCAAACTTTGAGAATGCTTCAGCATCCTTGTCTACAGGCGCTTCACCTCTTGATATCCATCCGAGTGCATCCGAGAGCCCTGCTTCCAGACTCAGGTCCTTGACACAGAACTGCGGATCCTGCCCCTCCAAGCGAGGAACAGCTGAGCTTACAACCGTCGAGGCCATTCTGCGCCGTAGTTCCTCAGCGACATTGGCTCTGTCGAATTCAAGTTCGGAACTCCGAGAGATCTTCAAAGCGCCGTCCCGCCACGTTCAGACACCCCCTGAATGCTCTCATGCCGTGCCATTGAGCTCAGCTGAGGCACCTCCTCCCGGCGGCTTTTCCTCTCCAACCGTTCCTGGGAAAAGCGTCCTGGTCTCGTCCTTGGCTGCTTTTCCTCCTGCCACTTGAGCTTGCCGAATCCATCCGGAGCATCCTTCTTTTCATCCATCTCCTCCGGAAAGACAACGCACAGAGCTGACCTGAGAACCGAGGCAGAGACCCGGCCGCCCGGCCGCCCGCCTGAGGCCTTCCCTTGGCCCGGCCTCTGGGAGCCCCTCTCCCCGGGCTTTTACGGAAAATCTGAGCCCGAGCAGCCCCAGCAAGCAGCCCGAGCAGTTGTGAGGAGGCAAGCGGCCAGACTCTCCAGAACCTGCCTGGACACGAGACAACAGGGGCGGCAGCAGTGGCAGCTGCGGATTTTGGCACGATGTCGTCACGTGACAGGGCTGGCTAGGATGAAGAAGTAGTCTATCGAGATTTTATCCCGCAGGTGAAAAGAATTGCGCCAAGTGCCGCGTTGCTCTTGGGGCCACAAGACGCAGACTAAAGCGCGCCACTTCGTCGCTCAAGGGATTGCCTCTTGTTTGTCTACAAGTACGTATCTAAAGCTATATTGCATTGACAGCTCAAGCGGCAACGACGCTTCTGCAAAGCAGAGGATGCAACGACACCCAGCTGCGAGTGCTTACGACCGCTGCTTTCTGATGGCCTGAACTCCAAGACAACAGTACAATGACAAGCTGCGCAACCTCGCTGCTGAGCCCACCTCCAAGATGTCGACTTCCAAGCCTTACGCTAACCAAGCTCGAGTCGAGAGCAATGACGCTTCCATGCGCAGTTGAGCGGCTGGGAAAATCATGGTTGCTGCGGAGTTTTCTCCTGACACACATGGGAATAGAGGAAAGCTAGCGTCCGTGTCAATCTGTTCGCCGGCCTGGATGAAACACAATAGACGCGATCCACGCTGTACTCGGAGGCAAAGTAAGTCTGGCAGTGCAATTCCCCGAACCCCTAGCCCGAAAATAGAAGCGCCAAAATCCTGCAGCGGCCTTGATGCAATTGACGGTTTGCTGCTCGACTCTCTCGCGATCTTCTTTCGGCAACTCACCTCGTACACAGATTCCAACGAAGATGGTAAATGGCCTTCGGATCTTCCAACGGTCGAGGCCACGACACTCGTCTCCATCGTCTCCTTTCAAAACTCGGCGAGACGGCTCCCAGTGGCAAGGACATGAAGAGTGAAGGACAGGCTTTGCCTTCCAGCGCTTCCTCTTCACGGAGGATCTCGGATGCAATGTCGATGTCCACCTTGTTCCTGCAGGCGATCACGCATGATGCAAGCTCAAGCTTCGGCTTTTGCGGCATGGCCAGGCCTAACCATAAAGTAGGGCACCTGGTTCACGGCAATCGAAAACACATCCTTCAGCAGCACCTTCCCGTGGCCTCGAACTTCTGAAGCTCTTCCTGAAGGTCCAGTGAGTCCAGTGAAACCAATTGAAACCCACAACAGCTGCGGCACTTGAGGCCCTGTCCGCAAGCATGAGCTCAGCTTCAGTGAACCGCGAAGAAGTTATCAACAGGACCACATCCTGGCCAAGTCGCGGCTTGAACCCGGAGAGGTAAAACACCCTGGCACAAAGAAGGCGGCTTGGCAAAGTAGCGAATCCCCATGCCTGGCAAAGATGTCAAGGAGGAACCCTTTGAAAGGACCGAGGAGGTCCCAGTCCCTGTCCCCTCTGATCGCTAAAGCTCCGGTTCGCAGAAATGCCATTTACGGTCGAAGCGAGCTCAGGCACTACTCCGACCAGTTGGCCAGGGAATTAGGTCTTGCTCTTCCGACGGAAACTGTGGCCCACATTCTCGGAGGGGTTCGGGAGTGAACAGTGAAGCCCTCCGGTCCCGCAAATCCGAGCTCCCAACGTCTGAGGTAGGTGGCCTGCGGACATCCAACATGAGTGGTAGCCAGAAGCACTGCCGTTCTTGCTGAAACCTTTTGGCAAGCACCAAGCATGAACTCGAGTGTCCAAGCTGGCCCTGTGAAATAGTCACCCGGCACCATTGCACTGAGCATGATGGCATGGGCTGGACCTGAAACGGTTGCGCGGGAGTCTGGCGCACCATGTCCTGTCCAGGAGCGTGTGCTGCTCAACCGCTGTTACACCTGAATCATATCACTCCGATCGGGTGCTGCAGGCTTCTGGAAGCAAGAAGGTATGGGATTGGTGTCTCCGAGAACGCGTGCAAGAGAAGTATTCACGCCTTCGCAAAGCTTGTATTGAAGCTTTTCCTTCCTTCCCCTCCAGTTGACTACCCTCACAGAGTCGAAGCTGATGTTCTGGATGGGATAGTCAGGGCTCGACAGGATGACTCCAGGCTGAAGCTTGGGATTCTCGATGGTGACATTCTTTAGAAGGATGTTCCTATAGATCCCCCTCTCGGCCGCCTTACAGGTGGCTCCGGGGATGTTGGGCCAGAGCAATGAGCAGGGATGGCCCTGCCAGAAGCGTCGGGAGTCGGATTGCTGCGCAGGGCCGATCCAAATGCCCCATTGCTCCGGCTCTTTGATGTAAATGTTCTCATAGGTTACGTCCTCAATGAGGCCGACCTCACCCTCGGCAATATCACGGAACTTCATGTAGATGCCTTTGAAAGTCCTGTCCATGTAGACGTTTCTAAATGTGACGTTCTTGACTCTGTCGTTACCCCCCTCGGAGCCAATTGTCAAGCCCAAACCACTCGCCTCCACGTTCTCGATGAGAACATTACTAGAGGATCCTTTCACGGCGAAGCAGTCGTCCTGATTCCAAACTTTGCTGTGGTGGATCCAGATGTTCTTTCCAGACACATCCCAGCCGTCCTGACACGTCACGCACTCACACATGCCAGATGCTGCCCTGTCCGCCCCAACACGCTATTCAATCCTTTGGTGTGCCGAAATGTTCCCGCGTTCTTTCTGCCAGTGCACAATAGAAACCGAGATGCCAACGCTACGTACGTGCTGATCCATTGATGTTTCTTCTGGAGGACAGAGAGGTTCGAAAGAAACTCCCACGAGATAAACTTGCGCCGACAAGATCGCTTCGCTATGCGTGTCCACAAGAGTTGCAACAGGAAATACAGGAGTGGGTTGGCCCGAATGTTATCACGTTCAACCGTTGATTCCCTTTTCCTCCGTAAGGCACGAAGGGCGGGTTCCGACAATACAGTCCTGCTCGTGTGCCCTCCATGTAATGCGGCCTGGCAATGCAAAATTTGGGCCGCCCTGCCCCCCCCCCCTCCATCCTCATCAACATCACAGAAAGACATGTATCTCATGTGACCTCTCTCCACTACTCCATCGAAACCTGTTCCTGTCTGGTAGTTGCTCATGATGCTTCACGTAAGATCTCGGGCCTGTTGTCGCGGGTTCACATCCAGGATGGTATGCAGCTTCTGTTGCTGACTTACGCACAATTGTTTGTCGCTGCTGCTTGGGTCCGTTACGGCCCTGATATGTATATAGCCGCCTACCTTGCACAGTGTCGCATAACGCCAACTTGACCCAACCTCTCAAAACTCCCCAAAACCTCTAGCGGCGAGCTGAGACTCGGTATTGAAGGCTCCCAGGTCGAAGAGCCCGTGGCCTTTGTATGCTGATCTCCTGTTCAAAATGTCGGAATATCGAATCTCCAAACCGTCGACTCCGCTAAACCACGTGGTCCAATAGGGTGCATTGGTCAGCAGCAGGCGCTCCACCAGAACGCCTTGAAGCTGCGACATCTCGAGAAGTCGGGGGCGGTTCTCTTGAATCTTCAAATATTCAAAATAGCCCCACCACGCTTTGCCCTGGCCATCCAAAGTGCCTTTGCCAGATGATGTCAGGGTCAAGTTTACAACATTCTCAAAACGGAGGCAGCTCAACACCCCTCCACCCGCATGTCTTGGCCAATCCTTTTTCCTTGCAGAGAAGATAAGAGACCCATCGATTTGGATGACCACATTCTGCAAAGCTCCGGCAAGGATGCCTCCCATGAGGTGAAAAGACTTCTTAGGGATGAGCAGTGTGTCTCCCGATTGCAAGGAGTTCAAGGTCTGGTTTAACAAGCGACCGTTCGACCACTCAATGGTCTCAGACTCATCCTCGGCCTTGCCACCCACCACTTCAAAGTCCACCACTCTTGCGAACGTCGGAATCACCCATGTCAAGCATAATGCGGTTAGGCACGCTACGACCCTACGTCCCCACATGACTGAAGCTCATGCACGGACAGCTACCGACGACGGCTGCGGTGCAACAGGGACAGGTTGCTTGTGATCCAGCAGCCAACCTTGCAAAGACTGTCCCAGGGTCCCCTGTGCCTGGGGAAAGTTCGGCCTTACAGTCAAGCTCCCAAGAACTTGAGTGTCTCGTGGAGACGCACGGCAGTTTGTTCTAGAACTAGGAACCCAGCGTGCCAACTCCAGGAAGATCCCAAATCACAACATCCAGGGCGGTGCCAACCACGTGCTTCACATCGACATCCAGGACCTTACACAAGGAGGCTCTGAAGAACTCGGGTGGCGCGCACGCACGCTGAGAGCACAGACGGGGTGCTAAGCCTCGCACCGGGCCTTCATCAAGGCGCACCTGCGAGCAGAACGAAGGTATGGCCTCTGCTGCCTAGGCGCCTAGGGCCTAGCCAATCACAGTGCACCTGAACTGTCTGCTTCTCATCGCTAGCTTTCAGAACTTCGGCACACGATCCCTCGGTCTGACCTGGAAACTACCGGCGTGGCTCGCCCAGTCAAGTCCCGACAGCTAGGGGCCCCAACCAGGAACTTGCCCAAGCACCACGCGCACCTAGAAGGGCTTTCTGGGCGGTGAGCTTTTGGGGTCACGTTTAGGATTTGTCGCGAAAGCCTTGCGAGCCCAGAACGAGGGCATCCTGAACCCTTCTCCATGAAGCATAGCGACTCACCAACAAAGCTCACTAAGGTCCAAGCACCGGCGTTCAACTCTTCACCATCTGCGCGAAATGGCGACCCCGCAAACAGACTGCGAAAGGCAAGAATCTCATGACAGCGTCAGCCTCCAAGCTGACGGTAAAATCGTTGGTTGAAAATGCCTTCACTGGCCGAAAAACTGTACATGGTTGGCTCCATCCTCAGTTTTTGCAACACGAGGAAACTGCTTCGCTGTGTCGTCCGATTGCACTCGGCCACGATCGCCCACGGCACCATAAGCGTTGCCCACCAGTCTGTTGCAGCTAGAGTGGCGTAGTCTCTTTGACTCCAGTCGCTGCTGCGTTTGCATCGGTGTCCCGGAGCCTGGCCGGCAATGGCACATTCGCCAGTCGTTTCTGCTGCCTATTCTGGGCGGGAAGCCTCCGGAATGCATTAACCAAGGATGACTTGCCAACACCAGACGCCCCAGTGATGGCAAGCCTCGTGGAGAATTTGGGCAAAATGGTGGAGAGCGACAAAAAGAGACAGATATGGAGGAGGCTGACAATGCCAGGTCCCCAGCATAATTTTGCCACCTCGGGTATCAACAGCTACACGCTGCATTGCAATTCACACACAGCCTTGCACATAAGTGGCTGTTGCTTGGGCCTTCACTGTTGGCCGCCTCCTTCCCAAGACTTGAAAATCCGAATTTTTGTGCCGCCCTGCCCCCCCCCTCTGGGCAAGTGGTTCCTCCAAGTAGCCCGGTACTGGATATTGATCTTGATCATCTGTGGCCGCCTCCTGCACGTGGACTCAACACAAGCGGGTCCGAGCCGTTTGCTTGGTGCCGCCCAGATGCGAGCTCTGCCTCTACCTGCACCAAACCATGGGTTGATGGCAGACAAAAGCAAAACGCGAAAACGAAGTGCCCTGTCAAAGGGCCCATACATTGGAGAGACGCCGAAGGGCCTCTTGGGCTATGGTTCTGTGAGCATACCATGACATGGCTTAGCATGCTCGTCGTGGTCATGCAGCGTGCCTTTTGCAGTCTTGAACGAGTCCTTCCACCCTTACCTTCCAGGTCCTCCTTTCTGGCTGCCTTCAAGTGTGCAAAGGTGTGCAGTATGCAGAACTGTCGTGCAGCTCGTCGGGGTTTAAGTTTTGCTCCGGTCATAAAAAAATGTCAAGCGAGCCAACACAGTGCAGCCTCCAGCTCTGCACGAAGCCGTTCGGTTTCCTGCAACGTTGTGCTCTTTGTGCCTAGTAAAGGACCATCTCTGACCTTCGAACCCTTCGAAGTCCTGCACCAAGCGCGCTGATGGACCGGGCGCGCTTCGCGGCCGGGTCAAGGCACCGACCAGGGCCTGGAGCTCACGCGAGCAGAGGCCTCTGCTCCCTGCAGAAGGCCCTGCGGAATTGAGGCGGGGCACGACGCCGCCGAGAATTGCCTGGCAGCTTGCTGACTTGCCGTTCCCCAGAAGATTCTGCATCTGAGAGTGCGGCGACTTCGGGCACCCCATGCCGCAGTACCTGCCACACGCACTCGAACTGGGTCGATCAAGGCACTCTAAAAGCAAAACTGAGCTGGTTGGCCCGAGATGCTTCTTGCCGCCGCAGGCCCCCGAATAGGCCTCAGCTGCAGACACGCCGTCTTAGCAGGAAGGGTGTAGCCACTCAGGCGTGAAGGACGGCGTGCTGCGGCCACGGCCGTGACCAGTCAAGGACTGCGGAGGAGCAGGCAAGCGGGCTGAAAGCCTGGTGCTCCTAGTGCTCCTCAAGGTGCGCTGGGCTGTTCCTGCGGTCAGTTGAAGCACGGCTACTGATAGCGGGAAACATCAAAGCAAGGCCCGCTTCTGACTGCCTGGAAGTGGACCATACAATGCCGTGCTGCATGGCCTAGGACGGCCGTGTGAATAAGATCTTCTATGCTTGCGAGCTGCATACACCTGCCGGAGCCAGCGCTAACCATGGCAAGCCAGCATACCTCAGCGACAGCAACAGGGGTGAGCGATGACATGTACTGATACCAGTCAAGGCAGCAGGCCGACACAGCACATCTGCTTCTGCTGCTGGTTGCCTCCAAGCCAAGACCACGAAATACCAGGGAAACAGGGAAGCACGTAGCTGCCGTCGCAGCATACGCGCACTCGAACTCTGGAGAAAATTTATCGAGGAAACGTGTGTGAAAGCAACGCTTGTGCAATGCTGTCTTCGGCGAGCTGCTTTGGCAAGGGACAGTGACAGTGGAGAAATCTCGGGTCGGATGCGGACGCCCGAGGCCCACCCCAATTAAGTGCATTCTGCGCGCCCCGCTCCTGCGCACATGCGACATCATATCAAAAAACCTGGCATCTCTGCCTCCGCGTTTTCGACGTGTGCGGAAGCATGCAGATCCAACCCTCTCCAGCCTGGCTCTGGGTTCCCAGCAATCATCGTTTTCGAACCCAGACTCTGATCCCACGGTCCCACACCCGCGCTCCGCGCAACACGTAGCGGCTGAACTCCGACATCTGTACTTTGAATTGCGTCTGCTACAGCTCATGACAGTAATTAAGGGGCTTCACGGGCTAAGTATGCCATGCAGCTGCCTATGCCTCAGGCTCGCAACGGATTCAACAGCAGCATTGCAGCACGTCATCCAGCCTTGATCGGACTCGCAACGGTTGAGTCCCAAGGCTCTTGGCAAGAAAGAGCTCGCGGTCCTCGACCAGTCAGACAACAACTTCAGATTGATTGCTCTAGCTATCGTCACCACCCACAATGCAGTTGAGTCACGAAGGCAAGACTGCATGTTGCCCCTTTCGCCCACGCGTCACCGCATTGACCACATGCAATCACACAAGATCACGGACGCTTGAGCTGGGAGAAGGCTGCGCAAAAACACCTCTCTGTGGCCATGATGCTTCTTCACGAATCTATCATAGACCTCCAGCAAGCAGCCGCAGGGAATGATGTGGATTTTCGACAAAGGATCGTCCTGCCCTGCAGTCACGTGGCAGGTGCATCCTGAGCCTGATTTGTCTGCAGTCTACTGCGCAGATCGCTGCACTATGGGCTCTTCAAAGCAACTTGAAACGCTGAAAAGCCGTTTGCCCGGTGGTTCTTTGTCCGTGGGTTGCGGTGATTAGGCACCTGAAAACTTGCATTAAAGAGTTGTTTGAAACATCACTGCGCACAGAGCCGCCATGGCCCAGGCAATCAATAGTAGACGTCGATGGTGGCAAGCTTGAGCTCTCGAGCCAGAAGCGCTTCTGCCCGGGGCAGCACACCACCGTTGAGTGTCTTGCTCTCGCCGTCGATCGCGGAGTAGGACACACGCTGCGGTGCATCGAGTTCCCAAGTGTTCTTGCGCGCTGCATTGTGATAGGTGACCTTCGTGCAGCCTAGGAACGTGAAGGACACAGTGCCGTCGTCTTTGAACAGCCAGGAAGGCAGTGCCGGCTCGAAAGCCAACTCCAGCGACCCAGCGCCGTCTGAGCGGAAAGGCTGTGGGCCTGCAAACATCAAAGTCCACATCGACATCATCTCGGCTGTGGAACCGGAAAGTCGCGCCACGAAGCCCGTCCCGTGAAGCCGCTTGTCGGGCAACGCTGTAGAAGCAAGGAAGGACGAAGCCTCCAGTGGAGAGCGGCCATAGCGCTTCACATCCATGAAAGGCACGAGGCCCGTTTTGATCTCGTCGAAAAACTCCGAGAAAAGGCGGCCCCGAAGCAATTCCAGCAGATACTTGTAGCTCATGTGTAGCCAGATGGACTCGTTCTCCAGCCAGCCCGGAGGGAACGCGAGCATGCGGCCCAGGGTCAGAGGTTGGCCTTTCAAGGACTCACAGACCTTGTACATCTTCAATGGCGTGTCATAGAGCGGGCTGCTCTTGACCTTCTGGTACACTTTGCGGCAATCTTCGCTGCCTTCAGTGACTTTCAGCTGGCGCACAAAGGCCTCGAGGAAGAGGGGGTACACGGTCGGCATCTCAAACGACAGTGGGACGGCAACCTCGCCGCTAGAGTCCGTGTCAACTCGAATCTCTGCCTTGTAGGAGAAGTAGCAGGGAGTCATGCCATTTCCAAACTTCAAAGCTCTGCCAATGCCATGCTCCATCTTGGCGACCATTTTGTCCAGCAGAGCAGCAACTCGACTGCTGCTCCACGGCTGCTTGCTGCCACAAAAGGGTCCCAGAATGCTCTCGTGGTAAATCTCTCGTGCTGTGCTCACTGCGCCCCAGTAAGCAAAATCAGCCGATGGCACTTTGCCTGTCGCGATGTGCTGAGACTCCAGTGACGTTGGGCAGTAGTTGCCCAACTGCGTCTCCACCTCCTGCATAAGCGTGTGCATCTCCGTCGGTACCTCGAAGTCCTGCTTGGGGTAGCGCTGGATGACTCTTTTCAAATACTTCAACACTCGCAGTGTTTCATAGCTTTCTGGCATGGTCGATCCGAGAATGCCAGGGAGACCATTCATAGCATCGTTCCAACCTGGCTTGCCGGTCTCCATCTGGATGCCCATGCCGAGAGGGTCCAGCGTGGCAAACTTAAGAACCCCGACGATCAGCAGCTTGGATCCAACCTCATGTCAGCAAATCGAGCTTTTAACTCTCCACGACTCAGGACCTCCGCAGGACAGCGCTAGCGGGTGATCAAACATGCGATGTCTGAAACTCGACATACGACACCGACGACGACAGCTCAACGAACAACAACCAATAACAACTGATAACAACCAACCATCAGTGACAACCACCACCACGACAACCACCACGAGCACCACAAGCACGGCGATCACGACCATGAGCATGACGTCCACGACCAAGACACGACTAGGACGAGGACGACGACAACGACGCCAAAGCCCACGACGACAACGCCGACGCCGACAGCGCAATCGCCGCCAGCGCAACCGCCGTCACCGACGGCGACGGCGACGACGGCGATAAGACTGGTAGCTGTGTACATGATTGTACATGGCGGTGTTGACGATGATGACTATGACGGTGATCATGGTGGATGTTGACAGCAAACGTCAGGCTGGCATCGACGCATGCATGCTACTATTGTCCCAGTACGGTTGGTCAACGGGGTTAGACTGGATGGCCAGATACTGAGCGCAGAAACCCTTAGCCACCACGCGGCCCCATGCAAAGCCGTAACTGAGGATCGGGCTGAGACGACCATGGGGTGTCCCGCAGCGTCGAGGTGCCACGCGTTGTTGTTGCCAAGTGGGTCTTCGACATAACCGTTCCCGCTGCGGGCCGCCTTGAGCAACTGTTCTCGAGGCTTTGCGATGTTCGCGCCATCCAAAACAGCATCCACCTGGATCACTGTCCCGTCGTTGAGCTTTCTGTACTTCCTGGAACGTGGCTGCACTGTGGAAGGTGAGAGGAAGAAGGGGATGGGCTCCAGGCCGAAGAGAAGCTCGAATTCCTTGTCTGGGTAAATGGTCAGGAAATTGTCCAAGAGATCCATGTTGTACGTCCAGTGGTCCGACCAGAAGCCGTTCTGGTTGTACTTCGCCACTGGCACTTCCTGGGCCTCCCGTGCCAAAATGTGGAGGAACTGCTCGCGCGAGAGAGTGCTGCCGATCTTCTCCAGACTGCATCCCTGCTTCTCCATGGCCTCTACCAGGCCAACACACATGCATCCAAGCACGTTATGCCGTTATGGACTTGCATCATCCAATTGCTCTACCAAGTGTCTGCACCACGCCGCCCGATGTGGTTCGGTTCCAGTCAGATGCACTGCTGGTGCTGCTAGTGCTGCTGCTGTTGTTGTCGCTGCCAGGTGTTGTTGGCACTGTTGTTGTGGTTGTAGTTGTAGTTGATGTCGTCGTCGTCGATGTCGTCGTCGACGCCGCGGTTGTCGTTATTGCCGTTGCTGTAGCTACGTACTTGTAGCTGTTGAAGTTATTCTCGCTGCTGCAGTTGTTAACGTTGTCGTCGCTATTGTCGTGGTCGTCGTCGTCGTCGCTGCTGGCGACAATGGTGGTTCTTGCTGCTGGTGTTGCTCAGCTTGATCTTGCTCTTGTTCTTGTTGTTGTTGTTGCTGCTGTTGTTGTTGCTGTTGTTGCTGTTGTTGCTGTTGTTGCTGTTGTTGTCGGCGGCGGCCGCGGTGGTGGTGTTGTTGCTGTTGTTGTTGCTGCTGCTGTCGTTGTTGTTGCTGCTGCTGCGCAGCTGCTCTGCTGCTGTTGCTGCTGCTGCTGTTGTTGTCTTTGTTGGTGGTGGTGTGTTGTTGGTGTTGTTGGTGTTGTTGGTGTTGTTGGTGTTGTTGTTACTGTTGTTGTTGTTGCTGCTGTTGCTGCCATGTCGTTGTTGTTGGTGGTGGTGTAGTTGGTTTCATTGTCTACATTGGCGTTGTTGCTGGTGCTGTTGTTGGCGTTGATGCTGTTGGTGTTGGTGTTGGTGCTGGTTGTCAGACTGAAGATGCCGATGTACGGATGCAAACTAAGGCTCGTCATGTCTATGCGACTGCCCAAGAAAGCTTTACCTTTTGTGTGAATTTGGGGGCTTGTCGGCATCACATGTACAGGAGCGAGACTCAACCCAAATGCCAGAGCTTGCTCCATTTTACGACTTCAGACAGGAAAAAGCGAGTTCTGTTTTCTCGTGTTGGTGCTTTCCGGTTGTCGGATCTCTTGATGTTGTCATGAGGCTTTGATCTGCTGGGATATTCGGATGCCGAATCCATCCTTCCTGTGCTCCAAAAATTAAACCTTGTCCTGATGCTGGCTAGGTGCGGCTACGTGCTGACAACATGGCTGCACAGGCTGCGCACATTTGTGCAGCATGTCTGGCCTTGAAAAGGTCACCAGGACGGAAGGGTGCTTGGAGCAGCTTCTTCAACTCATCTACCGCTGGTCCAGCTGATGACGTGACTCGCGCCAAGAAGTGGTTGAGATTGCTGTCGCCGGGCATCTTGAAGAGGGGTGTGGCCACTGACAAGGGGTTGTAGCCATCAGCCTGGATGAACGAGAGGAACTGGCGCACGTTGAAATCCCGAACGCGAGGCTCGAAGAAGACATCGACTCGTCTGTTCTGATTCACATCGCGGTAGTTACCCGGCCCTTGTGAAAAGTAGGTGAGGTCAAGCTGGAAGTTGTTGTAATCACGCTCCATATCACCGTGGATGCGACTGAAGCAATGATACACCTTTGGATGGTCCCTGGCACCGTTACCCAGGTCGCCGAGAATGTGGGGAAGTCCGCCTCGTAGCAAGTTGTCCCAGAAGTTGAAGTTGATGTACTGGTTGAAGATGGGGGACGCCGTTTCAGTCGCCACTTTCTTGGTCAAAGTGCCTGGGATGCTTCTTGCCTCCTCCATCTTCTTGCAAACAAACCCGGGCGTGCAAACCTTGGGGATGAACTTCTCGACAGCCTGTGTGATGTTTGAAGCATGGCCGTAGATGGAGTTTATCGTCACCTTCTGCCCTGGCGCTAGCCACTCTGAGGCGGCTGCCAGGGCGCACGGCGTCCTTGCACATTTGCACTGCTCGCCTGAAGCCAAGGCCTCTGGCGAAGTGGATGGCGTGAAGCCGTGAGGACATCGAAAGGATGTGTCATGCTCAAAAACAACCACAGGGTCGACGACAAACGGCAACAGCTTGTATTCTCCATCAACAAATGCCACAACGAAATGTCCGTTTTCGACCTCCTTGACTTGCGCAATGTCTGCTGGGTCAGAGCTGATGTGGAAGAATGGTCGTCTCATGTCGCCATCCTCCGTGTTGTAAACATTTTTCCATGCCTCCATGGTTCGGCCCATTGTAACAAGGTTCTCGTGAGGAATGCCGGTGGGCTCCAACT